TCAAATAAATTTTGCAATTGTATAGAGTTCGTTTTGACCAAAATATGTTTTTAATGTAAAAACAATGAGAAAAATAATCAAAGAAAAAATATATTGTACTGTGGACCTTTCCAAATCTCGAGAATGCGTGAAAGTAAACAAAGTGTTTACTCGAAATAATATTAGTGAAGTTGCCTTATATTCGTGCAAACATATTTTTTTTTAAGTTTGATTGAACTTATTAATTAAGTCAATTACTAGTTTTGTATTGTATAATTTATAGAGATGGTTAATGTAATAATCCATGGTATTGAAAAATAGTTATTAATATTTTGAAGGTAAAATAATTAATTAAGATTAATGTGTTCCTTTTTGTTTGCAATAGAGTATCTCAATTTTTATTTGAATTTTATACTCAAGTTCATTCAAATATAATAACATTGACATTCGCAATTTGTTTGTAATAGAGTATCTCGCTTTTTATGAATTTTATACTCAAGTTAATTTAGATATAATAACATTGATATATATTAAGAAAAATAATAAATGAAGATTAATCTTATCTTTTTTTTTCTCGCGCTTCATTTTCCCACTGTTTTTACATTAAAAACACGTTCTAATGTTATAAATCTTAATGGTCACACAAATTGACACGATAATCTGTGTCATTCCTCTTTTCGTAATAGTCATAAGACCATGCATATCCGTTTGCAGCATGATTTTCTACATCATCAAAACAATCAAAATTTATTATGAGATAGAAACAAATATATTTAGTATGTAATAATAGTACATACATGTACAAAATTCCCGTCAACATATACATCCCTAAGTTCTCTGCCCCATTCATCTGTTTCATAGACTTCAACCAATAATTTCTTCCCATCAACAATACGTATAAGTTCATTCTTTGTTTTTTCACCGAATGATATACCGAGTTCCGGAGCATCTATTCATCTGTTCCAATAAAAAAAATAGATATTTTATTTTCGAGACATTAAACAATTTGTTTAAAATGGGGTAAAAATATTTAATCCAACAAATATTCTTACTAAGAAATTCAAACCTAGGTTGTTTATAAGACAAATTGTTTAATATCTCCAAAACAAAATATCTATTTTTTTTGGAACAGAGTAATAGATGTTGTGGAACTCGGAATGTCATTCGGTGAAAAAACAAAGAATGAGCTTATACGTATTGTTGATAAGAAGAAATTATTGGTTGAAGTCTATAAAACGGATGAATGAGGCAGAGAACTAGGGATATATATGTTGACGAGAATTTTGTATAAGTATCTATTGTTATTATATATGAACTATAATTATTTATGTCTCATAATAAATTTTGATTGTTTGATTATGCACAAAATAATGTTGCAAAACGGAATCACATGGTTTTATGACGATAGGAAGACAACATTGAAAAATGTATAGATTGTCAAGTCAACTTGTTTGACCATTGAGATTTATAAAATTAAAACATGTTTTTAAATTAAAAATAGTAACTCTGCCTAGATATAGGGCATCCCTCGGTTCAGTATTGTTTTTTGAGAATGAGTTTACCTAGACCGAAATGATTATCCCTGCCCGATGTCGCCGGGCTCCCGTAATCTCTAGATGCAAAATGGTGTGTTGTATTTCATTTGAAAAAAGAAATACAAGTTTGATAAACTCCTCTCTCTTTCCCACAAGTTTCATATAATTCTCCATATTACCAAGTACCAAGCCAAAAACAAGTAAACAACCATATATACTATTTAACAACAATCCTATAATTAACATAACTATACGGTACCTGCACACAGACACAAAAGATTAAACATCAAAACATAGAAAATAACTATATTTTCCCAAGTTTCCTGTCTGTACTTCATTTTTGTTCTATCCCTCCTCCATGACATATATTGTCATCTTCCACTGAATGGTTTTCTCCTCTTCTTCTTCGCCCACTCCTTCTGTGTTTATCACAAAAATAATCGTAAACTGCGAATCTAAAGAAGTGTATCAACGATATTTACATGATTACAGTATGTTACTAACCTCATTTCGCCTCATGCGCCGTATCTTGCGTCATTTCCAATGCCACGGTTTCTCGAGTTCTTTTTTAGAATCCCACAATCTGATCTTTTTTTTCTCGTGCTTCATTTTTCCACTGTTTTTTACATTAAAAACACGTTCTAATGTTATAAATCTTAATTGTCACACAAATTGACACGATAATCTGTTTAATGATATATAAATAATGTTAAGAAAGAAACTAGCATGGCATTATATGATTTACGACAATCAAATAAATTTTGCAATTGTATAGATAGTTATATGAATTCGTTTTGACCAAAATATGTTTTTAATGTAAAAACAATGAGAAAAAGAATCAAAGAAAAAATATATTGGACTGTACACCTTTCCAAATCTCGAGAATGCGTGAAAGTAAAAAATGTATATACTCGAAATAATATTAGTGAAGTTACCTTATATTCATGCAAACATTTTTTTTTAAATTTGATTGAACTTATTAATTAAGTCAATTATTAGTTTTGTATAATTTATAGAAATGGTTAACGTAAGAGTCCATGGTATTGAAAAATAGTTATTAATATTTTGAAGGAAAAATAATTAATGAAGATTTATGTGTTCCTTTTTGTTTCTAATAGAGTATCTCAATTTTTATGAATTTTATACTCGAGTTAATTCAAATATAATAACATTGATATGTATTAAAAAAAATTGAATGTAACAATTACAATTAACAACATTGTTTTGTTATAATGTCTTTTTATAACGTCCTTTTGTTTTTCTGCTTAATTTGCATTATTAGAGTTTTTAAATAACAAATTTTACGATTTAATTTTATTTAATCCTAAAGTTTAGGATCTTTTTCAAGTTTCTCCTTATTTAAGTAAAACGCATCAAAAAAATTTGTCTTTTGTTGTTTGATGATTGACATACAAAAACTATAAATAGAAAACCCTAGATTTGGAAAACAAACCCAAGAAAATAGAAATGAAATGAAAGCATTGAACCAATTCCATAACCCTAAAGGCTTCCACTCATTTTATGTTGAATTCTAATTGAAATTTGCATTTCACATTTCGCAATTTGATCGTCATAGCAACAATATCCCGACACAACAGGTCGGTCTGATGTTACATGTTACAGAGCACACGACATATATTCAAAACCAAATGAGATATCAAAATAGGTTAACAATCCATTTGGTTCTAACCCATTTGAGTTGGTGAAATTAATGGGTTGGATTAGTCCAAAACATTAAAAATATATTCAAAACCAAATGGGTTGGGTTAACCCAATTAACCTATTTAAACTCAAATAGTTATATGAATTCGTTTTGACCAAAATATGTTTTTAATGTAAAAACAATGAGAAAAAGAATCAAAGAAAAAATATATTGGACTGTACACCTTTCCAAATCTCGAGAATGCGTGAAAGTAAAAAATGTATATACTCGAAATAATATTAGTGAAGTTACCTTATATTCATGCAAACATTTTTTTTTAAATTTGATTGAACTTATTAATTAAGTCAATTATTAGTTTTGTATAATTTATAGAAATGGTTAACGTAAGAGTCCATGGTATTGAAAAATAGTTATTAATATTTTGAAGGAAAAATAATTAATGAAGATTTATGTGTTCCTTTTTGTTTCTAATAGAGTATCTCAATTTTTATGAATTTTATACTCGAGTTAATTCAAATATAATAACATTGATATGTATTAAAAAAAATTGAATGTAACAATTACAATTAACAACATTGTTTTGTTATAATGTCTTTTTATAACGTCCTTTTGTTTTTCTGCTTAATTTGCATTATTAGAGTTTTTAAATAACAAATTTTACGATTTAATTTTATTTAATCCTAAAGTTTAGGATCTTTTTCAAGTTTCTCCTTATTTAAGTAAAACGCATCAAAAAAATTTGTCTTTTGTTGTTTGATGATTGACATACAAAAACTATAAATAGAAAACCCTAGATTTGGAAAACAAACCCAAGAAAATAGAAATGAAATGAAAGCATTGAACCAATTCCATAACCCTAAAGGCTTCCACTCATTTTATGTTGAATTCTAATTGAAATTTGCATTTCACATTTCGCAATTTGATCGTCATAGCAACAATATCCCGACACAACAGGTCGGTCTGATGTTACATGTTACAGAGCACACGACATATATTCAAAACCAAATGAGATATCAAAATAGGTTAACAATCCATTTGGTTCTAACCCATTTGAGTTGGTGAAATTAATGGGTTGGATTAGTCCAAAACATTAAAAATATATTCAAAACCAAATGGGTTGGGTTAACCCAATTAACCTATTTAAACTCAATTAATTTATTTACTTTAATGATTTACTAATAACATAAGTTCGATGAATATATATATATATATATATATATATATATATATATTATGAACTATCTATCGATTTCATGCAATGCGAACAAAATTCATTTATATTTTTTTATAAAAATAAAATAAATATAATTAAATTGTAAAAAAAAACTATTCTAACAATCCGAACTGAATTTTTTGTATATAAACAATTTTTTATAACCTCGTAAAATCTCCCGTATATTATTCATATTAATATTCTAGATATATAATATAATGAGGGGATCTTTATTAAGATACGAGAGATATTATAAAATAGTTTAAAAGATTTATGTAGATATTACAATATAATGAGGGCACTCTTCTCACCTTGATAATTTTCTTTTTTTGTTGTCATAAAATTTTCCTATTATTTTGAAAGATGAGACCTTTGACGCATCGATTATGTTGTCCTTGTCACGGATTCAAATTCTGAAAGCAAAATACACCATTGTGGTGTAACTCTTTCCTGTACCTCCGATCAACCGGAATGCCTTTTAATTTTATAATATTATACATCACAAAGTGTAATTGCGATTTGACATTATTTGGTAACAATCCACGACATTCGAATCATATAAAATGATAAATTAAAATTATTAAATTTAGAATCATCTAATGTTCGCATGTTTTTCGCAACTTGAGATTTGATATTATCAAGTTGGATTCTTCCACATGAATATGATTACCAAAAACTTAAAGTGAGTTTATAGGGTTAAATGGGTAAACCCCCAACAAAACATAACCCATTTAACGAAACTAACCAAATGGGTTTATTCGGTTGGGTTTAACACATTTAATCCAATCCAATTGACATCTCTAACGCCGGCTGCTTATAATCCAACCCACTTGACATCTCTGACGCCTGCTGCTTATCAGACGGCTCTGGAAGTTTTCGGCTGGCCTTGTTGCTCCGACCATGGAGGGCGTTTATTGTTTTCCTGAAAGTGTAGCAGCAAAAAAGATTCATCTTGATATTCAAATGAAATGCATAAATCCTACATTAACAAATTTTCCCTCCAAGTGGCAAAAAACAAAAATCTCAATTCAATAAAGGGCAGCAAAGGATGACGTCCGTATATTGGTACGTTATGAACATATATATATTCATCATGTATTAGCTGTTCAACTAGCGAGAAACATAAACAGTAAAACACAAAGAAAAATATATTCAACATGCACGATTTGTGTGATATGTAAGGCAGCTTACGTACTCTGATATCGGTTACAGAACTGCAGGAAGAGCACCTAACTGAAGGAGCCCCATAAGGATACATCAGGAGCACCCTGCAATTATCACAGTTCACCTGACCAACCTGGTGAGCTGCGATCATGAGCTATGGGTCAACTCAGTTAAAACCCAACAGGAAAAGGGCACTTAGATCGAATTTAGGAAGTAATCTATGCACAAAGCAGAAGAAGAATCCTGGCCAAGATCACACATTTGCCTTATGGGTATGACGGTTCTAATACTATATTGAACAGTGACCAGAAGAAGCCATAAACTGGAATACAAACAGCACACTACACTAGTAAAACCGCCTTATATAATAACATTATGTAGACCTTCTTTCCCTGTAATTGAAGTTATCAGAGCATTCAGAGACGAAAGTGTGAAACGGGTCAACATGTTTTCCAGGTTTCTGATCATCAAAGTCAGTTCATGAAGTTGAAAAACATGGATCAAAACGAAATCTTTGATGTTCCTATTGCCATATCTCTAGCTTGACTGAAATCTTGTATGAATCGGTGTAGCAAGAAGTAAACCTTCGAGGACGAGATTAATAGTCTGACAGCACGAGCACTTGACGTATTTGGAACCTTGAGGGTACGAAAGCAACCGCCTGCAAGAGCCGCAAACCATCTGCGCTATTTCTACAAAAGCAAAGAAGAAGCCCTCCGATTATTGTTGTCCTATAAAATCTACTGAAATCGCTAGTTTGATTGACCCGACGAATCGAGTGGTTTGAGGATCAAATGGAATGAACAAAAGATAAACCCTAAATGCAAGTAGAATCAAGGCGACAGATTGATCGCCGATCAAAACCACATTCGAAACCGGCTTACCGGAAACATCGGCGGCGGCGGCGGCAGAAGGAGGAAGAGATGGCGGCGGAATGACGGCGGATTCCCATCCCGGTGGCGGACCTTCCTCGTCGTCTTCGGCCTGTTGCGGTGTTGCTTCTTCCTTTTCCTTCGGCGCCTCTTCTCTCTCTCTCATCCTCTGTTCGGATTTTCCCCAAACGGCATTGCCTTCTCTTTTCACAAATAAGATTTCGTAAACGGGAAACGAAAAATAATCAAAATACACAATATTTCACATAAGGGAAAAATAAAATCATTTTATCTATATACAATCTCGTCATTTTTTTCATCTTAAATATATACAATCCTATCATTCTATTTAAAACTATCGCAGAAAAATTTTATTAAATTAAAAAGAATTCTATATTTAAGATGAAAAATAATAAATCCTTGTAAAACCAAAATAATTTTGATACAGTAACTGAGCTTTTTTTTTTATAATATTTGGCCCAGGTGGATATAGGTAATGTGGGCTGGGTCCAAACGGGTAAAAAAAAAAAAGTGTTTTCTTAGGTAATGGAATTGACATTTAAAAGAGTTATAAATAAATACATTTACACACAGTTTGCTGTCTGGACATGATCCTGTCGGCTCGCCGGAATGAACGAAGAAAACAAGAATTCTGCTGACATTTTGGCCTCACTCCATACTCCACAAATATGGTCCGGTCCAGTGATTTAGCACTTGAAAATTTGGACGTTTTCTTCCTCCTTTATGCTCCGGTTAACTTCGGTTTAGAAGTGAATAACCGGTTAAGAGTGGCAGCCAGTCGAATACCGCCCTGAGCGAGCCTCTCCTCCACCACAGGCAACCGAGACAGAAAGTATTCGTCTGAAGAAAGCTCAAGATCATGAATCTCACTAGCAGAAAAGTCTTTGAATGGGATATATAATCAAAAAGGGAATGAAGAACAAGAATCTAGACTTGATTTCATGTGAAAAAACCCCGAGAATTTCGACTTGGTTTATTAACAAGAATCGAGTGCAAACAAAACAGGCTTTTTCTACGGATTCAAATGGGGAGATTACCTCCTAAAGTTGTCCCGGGGGTGGCGTTCCTGTAAGCATACTTGCAGGCCAGATTTATGCTTTCAGAAGCATACCTAACCATCATGAACATATAGAAACCGTGACCCGCAAACCAAACACAGAATGATATCTACTAATAGTTAGATTTCTCGGTAATTTTCAACAGTTCTGTTCAGAACTTTCAAAGCCGATTTATCCTTCTTTAAAATCAGTATATCTTGATTCTTGACATGAAATGAAGAAAGGGTACAGATACAGATGCTTACTGATTCGGACAGGCAGTTTGGTTGTGTTGACATGATTCCCACAATGGAATATCGTTTAGCCATCCGTTCTGTATCAAGACAGTGGGAAACAAAATGTCAAAAGGTGGATCTATCTCTATTCTCTGTCATGCAAAGGCTGATGGATAAAAACTCTGAAAGCAAGGAGGAAAATCATTACCGTAAGATTGCTTTGAAGGGCTTGAATCATGAGCGAAAGACTTGAATTGTAGAACGTTTTGAGAGCAGAATCGATTATCATGTCGTCCCACACCTTCATAAACGGGTAATCTTTCAGCACTTCGACAACTTATTTTCATCTGATAACTTAACTTTGGACTGGACAGGTCCAAGTCGGTAAAATACCCCTTCAATCCCAACCGTTAAAGATGATTTTAGCGTCAGTGTAATAGTTAAAAGAAATACTTACATGGTGTAAATTTGTCTTCCTACGGTACCATCGGACCGTTACTGTGTTACCGCCTAGATCTCCAAGAAAACCAACATGTAAAGGCTGTCATAACCAAAGGTTAAATGAAGATGAGTACAGTATGGATTCACAACAACAACTGCATAGGAAAAGAATAATCAAACCTTCTAAAATATGATCAATTTTAAATGATTAAATTCTACCTGATGAACATCTCCTATGAAATGAGACAAGAACATGAGGGCCTCTGTCAAGTTGTCTGCAACCAAAAGACTTCTCACGCTATTAGCCACTTGAGTTCATACAAAAATTTGCATACCTGACACTTCAAGGATCAAGTCCATTTAAAAAAAGGCTCACATTTGACTATAGCTTTTGTGCTTTGATAATCCGACATCAGTTGCATTGTGTAATTGAAAATTGCTGCGGTCACACACCGGTCTTTGTGTCCATGGGTGTCATGGCAGTCCCCTTTAACAAAGACAGAATACACAGTTTAGACGAAAGTAAGAAACTTATTCCAAAAACATAGTTAATAAACATATAGAGGATGAAATAAAAAACAAAATAAACCTACGACAATACATATAGTTGCATCTGAAATCAGGAGTGTCAACATAGTGCAGAGGGCTTGTCCACCGCCAATGGTAATGGTGTTTAATTTCATCGGCCCACGAGCACACAGCTGCTAGATCACCTTCCGCTGATTTGGGCAGAAGTTCCTTCACCGCAGCAACTGTATCATTCTCGAAATAGCCCTGGAGTTTAAAAAAAAGAATGGCATTGCTAGTTCTAGCCGGAGGAACCCCTAGTAGTCTAGTTTCCAACAAAACCTCATTGTTCTTCGATATGACTAAGCCCCGACATCTCATTTTTGTTTCCTAGTACCAATAATTCCACGTAGTATTTTGCCTGATCCATGGCTAAAAATGGTGTTCCTGAATCTCACAATTCTCTAGCACTACAAGCATCAGTAGTTGATAGTTACTTAGATACAGAGCAAAGCAATTACCTTTGAAGTTATGGAGATCATTTCTGTAAGTTTTCACATTAGATATCCAGGAACCAAATTCACATCCTAATCATATTCTCTGTCCCTTTTCCACATTCACCAGTGACCTTCCTACCAATTTCCTTGTGGATCAATACATCAGAAACACGAATTTTACTTGTACAACGTGATAAAAGACAAAAACCCTTTTTGTTGGGGTCAGTTCTGATTATTTGAAACGTGATCAAACTTAATAGAAACCCTGACTAATCACTTGAAATCAATAGAACCCACGAACAACATCCTCGCAAATGCAACATAGAAAGGAAAATTAAACAATGATCGACGTGTTGATCGAGCCCAGAAAGCAAACAATTAGGAAAGAACGACAAATTAGTCACCTCGGCTATTTTGCAAATGGCGTAATGACCTTCCTTGCCCCAACACAAAGCTCCATGTACGAGCTGCGTAAGAACAAATACTCTCGCAATCCATAATTGCGGCGACACATCCATTCTATGACAAAGATTCCGACTTTGCAAGTGTTCGTCAAGTTGCAGACAGAGATACGTCTTGGGCTTCACTTTCCGACCGGAGAAAGGGATGCGAACAAAAGAAAAGTAGGTTCCGAAATTGAAAATTCTTGGGCGACTCTACTGAAAGACTTGCCGGGGAAGAAACAAGGGCGATTTGGATTCGAATAGATATGTATGTTCCGAAATCGCAGAGGAGAGAAGAAATGACGAGTGTCGCGTAGTTCTTCAACATTTGCAATATAATATTGACGGAATTATACCAAAAAAAAAATAATTATACCAAAAAAAAAATATTGACGGAAATATTTCCCTTTTACCCAATAAATTAAATTTATAATTTTTAAACTGTATTTTATATAAAGACAGATCGAAAAGGGAATTTTCATTTCTGCAAAGGAAAAAAATAGAAGAGAACAAAAAAAAAAGTATACATAAAAAGCAAATTATATATTTTTTAAAAAGAGAACAAACTTAAAAACAAAGAGTCTTTCCCCAAAACATAAAATTAGTTTATGAAATACCTAAAATATGTTAAACAAAACAAAAATCAAATAATGACCATAGGTATATAAACAACAAGATTTGAGAGAAGAACAGAAATTGTGAAAAAATGATTATAATAAGAGACATTTGTAATTGGGAAATATTGAAAGTTGAAAAATAACATAAACTAACCAACAAATACAAATTCAATTACCTAGGAAAAAACACCATGTCGGTTTTCAAACGGTCATATGTGTGGATATGTTGGCATAAAGTTGAAACGAATGGAATAACATAAAACAATACCCAAATTAAATCTATAATTTTTAAATCAAATTATTAAATTAAAATTAAAAAAATTTAAAATAATAAAAAGATGAATAAGAACGATTTCTATAAAACGAATATTGTTAATAAAAAATCTAAATATATGAACTAAAATAAAAAATTTATACAAAAAAACAAGTAGATAGAATGTTATAAAATTTAAAATAAAATATAAAAATAATCCGATAGAAATATAATTGAAAGCGAGCTCTTATTTTTTGTTTGTTTAGAAACTTACCGACAAAGACCGACAAAGACTATATATGTATATATATTAGTTGATTTTCTCCAAACCTCATTTCCCATAGAAAAGGCTATATATATTTTCATTCTCTAACGAATATATAACCCATCGATTATATATAACTCGAACGTACTGTCGATATGAAGCTCCATTTTAGTACATTCTTGTGGTCTCAAATCTGCCTATGACTACCACTCACCTCGTCGACTGTCGTCACGTATGATGTAATTACGATTCAAATGAATATACGTATATTATATATATATATATATATATATATATATATGACGAGGTCGAATCAATTTGTTTTCTTAAATATCGAATTTCAGATTTTATATATATATATTGCAAGAAACACCATTATCTTTGTCAATCTGCTTGGGGTTAGGTTGTTGACCGGTCAACGTCAGACCACTCTCGAGTGACCATAAAAATGTGACCAATGGTGACGCAAATTTTTTTTTTGTTAAAAGACGCAAAATTTATTTGGTATTATGACATGCAACGTAGTCTATTTCTCTGGACCGGCTGGCGAAATAATTTTGTGGAATCGGTTAAATTTGAATCGATTTAATTTATCACACAGAAAAACCAACATATTTTAAGGTATGATCATTAACGTAGTCAAATATACACCCATTGTCCATACGAATGCATTTCGATTTCCACACGTTGTTCAAGATTTCAGTATCGATAACTATGATGTTTATGATAATGATATTATAACAATTGAATATTAATATAAAGTGGGATATGTGTCCCCTAATCTGTATTAGCATATGGCCAAACATCCAAACGTCATGAATTGTAAACAATTGCTATTTGCATGACTTCATATGCTTATATGCTAAGGTATGCACGAAATACTATTTTATAATTCTGGCGAAATTATCATTGGTCCTACATAGATATATATATATATATATATATCCCTAGAGATAATTATCTCGAATTAAAGCTCATTTTGACCAGGCTCATGCACAATTGAATAATAATAATAATAATAATAATAATAATAATAATAATAATAATAATAATAATAATAATAATAATAATAATAATAATAATAATAATCGTAATACAAATATATATATTCGATCCCAATCCAAATCAACGTAACCCATAATATTATATAATATCAACGGATGAAGAGCTAATTAGGATTTTTGCCAGAAAAAAAATTGAGGGCTTTAATATATAGAGAAGATGCGTATAGAAGATATGTAATGGATGTGTATACCAACGAAAGTGGTGTATGGATATTGTATCATTTAATACATATTAAATATAATCATTTCTCTTTCTAATAATAAAAATTTATGGCTTAATGATGAAGGAAATAATGTTGAGGAAAAGATTAACATAATATTATACGGTTTATGACAATCGAAAGAATTTTATAAAGGTATAGATAATCATTTGAGTTTATTTTGAGTGATAGGAATTGTAAAATTAAAACATGTTTTTGATGTAAAAACAGTGAGAAAAGAAAATGAAATTATACCAATTACTATTTGCATGATTTCATATGCGTACATACTAAGGTATGCACAAAATACTATTTTATAATTTTGACGAAATTATCATTGGTCATACATAGATATATATACATAGATATATGTATATATATTTATATATCCCTAGAGAATTAAATTATCTAAAATTAAAGGCAAGTTTGACCATAATAATAATAATAATAATAATAATAATAATATATTCGATCACAATCCAAACTAACGTAGCCCACAATATTATACAGTATAAGCGTGGAAATGCAAAAGATATAATCACGCTGTCGAGGGAAATATATTAGTTTCTTTCTATATTATATTTGCCTTCATGCTTTCATTTTCACCCTTTTTAACTTTTTTGAATTACATTTAACTATTCTGGAATATTTGTAGACATAAAAAGGGGAGTTTAATTTAACCCAAAGGAAGAACATAGAGCAGTCGGACTATACATACATATATGATATATGTATGGAAATTGATACGGAGAAATGAAATTTTTGGTAACGCCAAAAGAGTGCTTTGTTTTTTTTTTTATATAGAAAAAAAAGGTACACCAAATGTTTTTTTACATTAAGAGTCCAAAGAAAATCCACGTAGGAATTGGTTTGGCAAAAAAGGTACACCAAATGTTACTCTAAAAGAATCCACAATTCAATTTTAACAAAAAAAGAAATCCACAGTTTAATCAAAATGGTTACAAAACTTAGCACGTTTAATTACATCAAAGCGGTCCAAAAAAGTGTTAATGATGGTTCCTGTAGCTAGCTGCAAAATTCTTGGAAACGTATATAACCACATATATATACACATTACATAATTATATATAGGTGCGTGTATATATATATATATATATAGGGCTAATTGCTGAGTAGGTGCTACATAAACACCAACAAGGAGAGAGAGAGATGCTGACGACACGGGCGTGGATAATATCGTCGGGGGTGGTGGCGGTGGTGCTGGTGGTGCCGTTGACGATGAACATCTCCGTCGCCGGAGCTCACAATCTTAAGCCTCTCTTCTTCATCAATGGTATCGTCTTCTTCCTCGCCGCCTCCACTCTCTTCTCTCACCACAACCACGACCACGACGACCACGACCATGACCATGACCATGACCATGACCGCCAAGATCGGCACCTTTATAATCAAGATGATCTCTACTCTCCAAAGCATGACGGTATCTTACGTCATCCTCCGGCGGCCTCGTTTGATCGCTACAACTCCGGCGAGGAAAAGTCTCCGGCGGAGAATCCTTCACCGCCGTCGAAACCCGCCGTTCTCCGCCGCACAGCTACACCTACTGCTTCCGCTTTTGAAGGTCCACGAGGTATATATATATATATACACAACGAATCGCAAGGACGAGAAAAATTCCAAATATGCGAGATAATAACAAAAAAATGTCTTTGTGTTTTTTTTTTTTCATTCAAAAACAAATTAATGTTTTGAACAAGAGGAGGTGTGTATCCATAAATATCATCTAAGAGATCGTATATCTTGTATTATATACATATAGTATGGAGAAACCTAGTATCATACAGAAAAAAAAATATATGGACCGTCGATGCTTATCATCATGTCGTTTATCTTTAAGATAAATATATACACGATTTCCAAATCTTGAAATATTTATTAATGAATCGTGGAAATTAATAATAACCAAAACCAGCTCCATCGGCGAAGGAAGTTAAAGCGGATGAAACGGAGTCAATGGAGGACACGTGGGAGAAGATAAAGGCAGAGAAGAACATGACAACGTCGGACACGTGGCACAGCGAGTCGTCGTCGACGACGACGTCGTGGTCGGCGCCGCCGTCGCCGTACAACGTGAAGAAGAAGGGGGTGTTCATAGAGAGGATTCCGACATGGCTGAGGATGAAGAAAGAGCCGTCAATGGGAAGAGACGATCTGAACGCTCGCGTCGAAGCCTTCATCAAGAAATTCCAAGACGAGATCCGGTTGCAGAGGTTGGAGTCCTTGCGCCGTTACAAGTCCAAGTTACTTAAACGCGGTTCTTCTAAACGCTAAACGCTGAACGCCATGGCTGCGTTGTGTTTTCTCTATATATATCCAATGTATCGAATGATACGATACGTGTTTCAATTCAATGCAGAAGTGAAAGAATCATGTAAAGTTTAATAGAGTTTAGGGTTTTGTAATTTTGTCTTGTATTATTAACAAATGAATACGTGAGTACATATACAAGTTGGAATAGAGGAGATATGGAAAGATTACATAATCTTAATAAATCGAGAAGATTCTCCGTGATCTTGGTGTATCCTTATCATGCCCCCGCAAGTTCGGTGTCGGATGAGAGACAGATCTTGGCCCGTAAGAGTTCAAACCGTTGACGAGGTAAGGGTTTGGTGAGTGCATCGGCAAGCTGATCCGAGGACGAGACGTGAGATACCCTGAGTTGTTTAGCTTGAACTAGACCTCGAATGAAATGGTAGTCAATGGCAACATGTTTCATGCGGGAGTGGAAAACCGGATTTGCCGATAGATATGTTGCCCCGATGTTATCGATGCCGAGCTCGGAAAGAAGAGAGCATAGCCACCGAACTTCAGATGCCGCAGACGAAACCGACTTGTACTCAGCTTCGGTGGACGATTTTGCCGCGAATCGTTGCTTCTTGGAAGACCATGATATAGGGTTGCTTCCAAGGTAAGCAATGTGGGCGCCGGTGGAAGTGAAATCATCACGGTTGCCACCCCAATCGGCATCCGAGTAGGCATGGAGAGTCAGAGGACTAGACCTGGACAAGAGAATACCGAGAGAGCTTGAGCCATTTAGGTAGCGTAGAATCCGCTTCAATGCTTGCCAATGATCCGATGTTGGACGGTGCATGAATTGGGACAACTTATTAACCGCGAAAGCAATGTCCGGGCGAGTGAAGAGTAGGTATTGTAAGTTGCCCAAGATTTGTCGGAATTCGGATGGATCATCAAGGGGTGTGCCGGAGTTGAGATGCAATGCCGAAGTCGATGGTAGTGGCGTCGGTACGGGTTTCGACGAGGCCATTTGATGTCGTTGAAGGACATCGGAGATGTACCGACGTTGTGTGAGAAGAATACCCTTGGACGAATAAGTTACTTCCACTCCAAGAAAGAAAGATAAGCGTCCGAGATCCTTGACCGAAAACCGAGCTGCAAGGGAGTCAATGAACCGTTGAACTTTATCCGAGTTATTGCCCGTGATAATGATGTCGTCCACATAGACAAGTAGGTAGATGATAACATTCTCTCGGTTGAAGATGAAGAGCGATGTGTCGGAGAGAGAGTTGATGAATCCCGACTCAAGAAGAAAACGACAAAGCTCGTTATACCAAGCTCGAGGGGCTTGTTTAAGGCCATAGAGAGCCTTATGGAGCTTGCAAACAAAGTTTCGGCGATCATCATCAACAAATCCCGGTGGTTGCATCATATAGACAGCATCTTGGAGAGTTCCTTGAAGAAATGCATTATTGACATCTAGTTGTCTAAGTGTCCAACCGCGAGAGACAGCAATGCTAAGGACAACTCGAACCGTCGCTTGTTTAATCACCGGACTGAAAGTGTCGGAATAATCAATACCGGGTCGTTGGTGAAATCCCTTTGCCACAAGACGCGCTTTGTACCTATCAACACAACCATTAGGTAGACGTTTGGTCCGAAAAACCCACTTACATCCAACGACGTTGTAGGACGGGTTGGCCGGAACTAGACTCCATGTTCCATTGCGAAGTAAGGCATTAAATTCCTCCGTCATAGCACTTCTCCACTTCGGATCCTTCATAGCCTGCGATACACATGTTGGTTCGATGTCTTGGTCATGGTTTAGTGTCGAGGTTAAGGATAGCTTTGTGTTTGGCTTTGTGATGTGGTTCTTTGATCTTGTGGTCATAGTGTGGGTATTACGATGGAGAGGTGGCTGTGGGATATGTGTGGTTCCGACGGCTGGTTGTGTTTGAGGTATGGGCCCGGTCAGAAGTGTATCTTGGGATGGCGGTGATGATGAAGAGGTCTGTAGATCAGGTTCGGGCGGTGTGAAGGTCGTGATTTCTGCATTTCTTGGCGGTGAAGAAGCTGCACCCGGGAACACGGGCACTGTGGTATGCATGGCTGGCCGGATTGGAATTACCGAAGAGAAAGAAGGTGATGGGAAGGAAGATTCCGACGTTTGACTTGAGACCGAAAGAAGACGAGGGTAAGGGAAGTCATGTTCGACAAATTCGACATGACGTGAGACATAGAGACGAGACGACTCGACATGCAAACAAAGATAGGCACTTTGAGTGAGGGAATAGCCGACGAAGACACAAGGAGACGAGCGTGGCTCAAGTTTATGACGAGTATATGGGCGTAGCCAGGGAAAACAAAGGCATCCAAAAATACGTAGTTTGGAATAATTGGGTTGCGATTGGAATAATGATTCGAAAGGAGACCGACCATCAAGAACCGAAGTGGTTAGACGATTAATTAAATAGACGGCGGTGGGAAAAGCAAAAGTCCAATATTCCGACGGAATAGACGCACGAGTAAGAAGCGTGAGTCCGGTTTCAACAATGTGACGATGTTTTCGTTCCGAAATCCCGTTATGTTCGGGTGTGTGTGGTGGTGTTGTGAAATGAGAAATGCCATTCGTGGATAAAAAATCCTTGAGAGCAATATATTCACCACCATTATCGGAATAGAGTGTGACAATTTTTGTACGAAAACGAGTTTCAACAAGGGCTTTGAAGTGTTTGAAGATGGTGGCGACGTGAGACTTGTTACGCATGGGATAAAGCCATGTATAACGGGTAAAATGATCCACGAAAATGACATAATACTTATAGCCATCAAAAGATGTAATCGGTGAAGTCCAGACATCGGAGAATAAAATTTCAAGTGGACAAGATGATTGAACCGAGGAAACCGAAAACGGACGTTTATGACTTTTATTAATAGAACAAGACTCACAAGAGAAATGAGACGAGTCACTCGACAACGGAAGAGAAAACTTAGAGATAAGATGCTTGAGAACATCGTTTGAAGGATGACCCAATCTAGAATGCCACTCGGAAACTGACTTCTTAACACTAGAGAGTGCAAGAGTTGAGTGCTTATTGGAAGAAGACAACAAGGGTAAATCCGGCCAAGCATACACGCCATCAAGAAGTGGTCCCGTGAGTAGTGTTGCCCCCGTGGTGAGATCCTTCACCTGAAAGAAACGAGAGAAAAATTCGACCGACACATTATTAGTGTGACATAATCGGTTAATCGAAATAAGGTTCTTGTGCATAGAGGGAACATGGAGAACATTATGGAGAGTAAGAGGATGAGATGAAGAGGGAAGAGACAAAGAACCAGTATGTGTAATCGCAAGGCCGGACCCGTCACCGATAATAACCTCATCTCCACCATGATAGGGCGAGTGAAGCGATAAGTTGGCAAGGTCAGTGGTCACATGATGAGACGCTCCGGAGTCTAGGATCCATGAAGGTGTTGTCGGAGATGTGACAACAGCTTGATTTGCCGAGGGCTGCCATGGGACTTGTCCCGGTGCTGAGTTTCCATCGGAATGGTTGCGGCCATGAGAGGAAGGAAGCAGTCTACATGTACGAGCACTGTGTCCTTGTATGCCGCAAAGTTGGCACTTCCCGAGATATCCCCGAGAGTAAGACCGAGGGTTTGAGCCTCGAGACGATGGAGAGAACGATGATCGGGAAGAGCGCGAATGTGAAGGAGGCCGAGAGTGTATGGGTCCAGAAGGACGCCATGTTGGTCGGGGACCATAGCCGGCTGAAAGAGCCGTGACTGGCATGTCGGAGACAGAAGCCGCAGCAAGATCAATGTCATGGCTGAGGAGCTTTTCGTGAAGCTCAACAAACGAGATCGGATTGTCGCGAGCAAGGACAATATCTTTGATTGGCTTGTATTCATCTCCAAGTCCTCCGAGAATTAGATCTATCAGATCTTCGTGATCAAGAGGCTTACCAAGGAGACCGAGTTCGTCGGCTTTGACTTTGAAGAAGTGCATGTATTCGTCTATCGATTTTGTTCCCTTGGTGTGACGACGCATGTGATCTTTGATAAGTTTCACATGACCGCGACTGGATCGACCGTAGGTTTGAGCAAGTGTTGTCCAAGCAACACCCGTAGAGGCTGCAGAAGCGACAAGCGCTTGGCATGACGGAGAGATGGATCCAAGGAGGGCCGAGAAGAGCAAGCGATCTTGTCGGAACCATTGTGTGTAAGCCGGATTGACGGAGACCACGTTGTCGGTGGTAATTGTTGCTGTGGGAGTTTGAGTCGGATCAAGGAAGGCATCGAGATTGTAGCCTTGGAGGAGTGCTCGGATTTGAAGACTCCACGTGAGATAATTCATCGACGTGAGTTTGGAGACATTGGAGGTGTTCACGTTGATGAGAGGACCATCGGTAGTGTAAGGAGTGGCGGTGTCATTGCCGGTGTTAGCTGCGTCGGTGGCCATGATCCTGGCAACGAGAAGACGGCGGTCGAGAAGATGGAAGAGAACACGTGGGGGTTGAATCGTCTTTCGACGTTTTTAGGGCTCTGATACCATAATAGAGTTTAGGGTTTTGTAATTTTGTCTTGTATTATTAACAAATGAATACGTGAGTACATATACAAGTTGGAATAGAGGAGATATGGAAAGATTACATAATCTTAATAAATCGAGAAGATTCTCCGTGATCTTGGTGTATCCTTATCAAAGTTTTTTTTTTTGTATCTAGAAACTATATAAACTTAATCATCTTTGGTAATTCATCATTGTAATGCGATGCTCTTTGATGTTTTCTTTATAAAAAAAATTGTAATTAATACTCTCATTATATACGTATAGTAAGAGGATTTTATTACTGCAGTATCCGATGTCATACCAAATAACAAGCTTTGGTGTGCCTGAACAAAGTAAAAATTGAACTAAATAAATCGAGTTCTTGAATGAAATATTCAGTCTCTTGATCTTCTAAATTCAACACATGATAAAAATAGATGAAAATTGTAAATGTTGGTTCTCTTTTATTATGAAAATAATATTAATATGTTACAACTAAAAATTATTAGAAAATTAGGTGCCACCGCACGAGTGGGTGGCGCGTGAGAGAAGGAACGGTGGCGCGTCGGTGTTCGTAGGGGTGGGCAGGACACTCAAGGGTCGTGACATGAACAGAGTCCGAGATTCAGTTTGGAGCCAGATCGGGTTTGATGGTTTAATTCATTAATTCCACTAATTAATTGACCTAATCTTTTATTAGATATGATCTTATTTTTAATCCAAAAGAGAGTTGAAAACCTTGACCAATGGTATTTTATTTTCTTCTCCATCATCTGCTCTGAAGATATATATATATATATAATTTGAACAAGAATTAATATTAAAAAAAAATTGAACAAGAATCAATAGTGCCAAATGAGTCGTTTGCAATTGTATGAAGAATGTATAGGTATTTAATTTACGCCATAAATTATAATTATGTTATATGTATGACCGATAATGACACGTATATTATGTCTCCAAATATTTTCCTGATTTTTCTTTGTCTTTATGCATTTATTCTTTATAGTTTTGCCAAAATAATATTCTTCTGAAAACTAAAAAATTTATTATTGGAAAATATAATTTTTAACAGGAAAAAAATGTCGGAATATAGAATATTTTCTGAGTTGGACATGTTTATTTCATGTGGGTTTGAGAGCCATTGACGTATTTCGTCGATAATGGAACCATAGACGACAAAAGAATGATCTGCTTTAATTTATTATAAGGCAGAAGAAAAAGAAGAAAAAAAAGAGAGCTATCGTGGGAACGTAAGCCCCGTTCGGTTAAGTCACGAACGGACCAAGCGAATAACTGTTAAGGTCGGCCATAAGTACGCCGGCAGAGCGACCACGAAAGGCTCCACGCATGTCTCAGCCCCTTCAACCCCGCGAAGGAGATCAAAGTCGGTCAACTCTTGACGGCGCTCACTCGATTACGAGGCCACATCTCTGTGGGTATGGGCCCGGGGACTTTCCTGGGTATAAGTCCATCTAGGAACGGAAACCCATTAGCTTCGGCCCATGATAGCTTGTTAAATCAGGCGTGAATTACTTCATATATAAACAAGCTAAAAACTTTCTAATTGACCGATGTGGGATATTTTTCTCCATTCTGCTCACGCCATTCCTCCATTCCCCCCACGAGCTCCTTCTTCTTCGCAGTGTTTGCATTGGTTTGAGTACAGATAAATCAATGTCTCTTTCCAATTCGTTGGATTCAGGGCTTGATCGATTTCTGTGCACGCGTATTGATTCGTCTCTCCTCGGGTTTGCAATTTCGCTTTAACGCGTGAAGCTTTCGTCAGCGAATTGTGAAGATCCGTGTCCCCGCACGCAAATTATTCTCTCTCTCCATCTCTTTTCTAATCCGCTTGAGAGAATTTCACCGCTACCAAAGCCGCGTCTTTGCTTCTTGTGAGTATCCCCTTCTTCTCTCTCCCCCTCCCTGGTGTGTTGTTTCCATCTCTGGACGATGAAATTTCTGGGTTTTCTTTTTGTGTTTTTGTTTATTATGTGATTTAGGGTAAGATCGATTGTGCCTGTTGATTCTCTTCTCGTTTCGTTTGCGTTTGAGCTCGTTCGAATTGACATGTTCTTCGTCCCCGGTTTCTTCTTTGATTATCTTTGGATTGAAGTTTTCCGGCTTGCTCTCTGTCTTTCGATGGTAGAGATCTAAACGAAATTCAGGAGGCTAGGTGAAAATACGAATCACTCGAAACCTGTACAATTACTGCATAGCTCACGTTTTTCATGATGCAAGTGTGATTCCTTGGACATGTTTGGCTTTTCCATGGTGAATATCGGAGTGTGGAGATGGAGCTCGTTCTATCCGTTTCTATCGTATGATTTTTTAGGGCTCGAGCGTGACTTTGTCTCTGTGATCTCAAATGCAGCGAAGAAGAGAGCGATTCCGCCGCTTTGCGCGTGTCCCGTTCTCTTCTCCATTCCTTTCTCAATTGACGGCTCCCGAGTTTCCTAAACATGGAAGTCAAATTATGGAACGATAAGCGCGAGAGAGAAATGTACGAGAATTTCGCTGAGTTGTACGCCATCATCAAAGCCACCGAGAAGCTCGAGAAGGCTTATATCCGCGACCTGATCTCCCCAGTCGAGTACGAAACCGAGTGCCAGAAACTCATCGCCCACTTCAAAACTCTGGCTGCCACCCTTAAAGACACTGTCCCGAACATCGAAAGGTTTGCAGACACTTACAAGATGGATTGCCCGGCCGCTCTTTACCGCCTCGTGACCTCCGGTGTTCCAGCCACAGTGGAACACCGAGCTGCCGCTGCCACCTCTATGTCGAGCTCGGCCGCCATTGTAGCGGAGTGTGTCCAGAATTTCATCACGGCGATGGATTCTCTGAAACTGAACATGGTGGCCGTCGATCAGGTTTACCCACTCTTGTCTGATCTCTCGGCATCTCTCAACAAGCTTAGTATATTACCGCCGGATTTCGAGGGGAAGACGAAGATGAAAGAGTGGCTGTCGAGGCTGTCGAAGATGGGAGCGGCTGACGAGTTGACGGAGCAGCAGGCTAGGCAACTCCACTTCGACCTCGAGTCTTCTTACAACTCGTTCATGGCTGCTTTGCCTAATGCCGGAACCTGATTGATGTTGGGTGAGTTATTTTGGACAAACGAGGATGGTGTTTTGTCCGAGTAGTCTTTGGTTGGTTTATTATGTCGGAGAGGCATTGATCAGTTTCTTGTGAACAGATTAATGATGTTTATCTTTCTTCTGTGTATGATGATGTTGCCATATTCTGAGTCCATTGAGTTCATATAACAGTGATGTAGATCTGTATGCATATATGTCAGAATGTTGCAGAGACAGAAAGGGGTCTGGATTTATAGATTGAAACCAGTGATTGTTCTTATGTTAAAAAAGCCTGTCTTATCTGTCGGCCAAGATTTCTTCCTCTTCATCTTCTTCCAGTATGTATACGAGTGCCCGCCTTCTCTCCGCAAACACGCAAGCTACTCCTCTTGATGCTGCAATCAGTAAATTGCCACGCGGTTGCATGATTAGATGCAGTTTGAGAATTTCATTTGGGGGGTTTTGAGTACTTTTCCCTAAAAGGATCTTCTAGGCAGATCTACTACTTCAACTAGAGGTTACCATTGCCACTTGAACTAAGTACTCATGTTATTGGGTATTTAAGCAATATGCCTTGCCTTTTCTTTTTCAAGCCCTTCATCCACATGGTAACTTCAGACATCATATTTTGATGATGGCAATGGAAGATTGAATCAGAAAGCAAACCACATGGGAAGGGAGTGATGTGGAAACTTACCGCTTACCGCAAGGGGAGCAACAGTAGAGTGTGGGACTTTCCGAACCTTTTCATTCTCCATTTGCAGGTAAACCACAGAGCCCTAGAAAAAACAACAGTGATCATTTCTTATAAGTTTTTACCAGGTGTGAACTTCAAAAACAACTAAATGCACAAGTATTGGAGCATGCAGAGGTGATTGATTCCACAGTTGAAGCATAACAGTTGATTGTATGGATAAAACTTTTTGGTACCCCTTTGGGCAACATAACAAAGAAATGGGGTGATAGACGAAAAGAGATCTCAATTGTGTTGTGACCAAGAGAAAATGTTTATGCAGCAAAAAATGAAAGAAACGCATGAATCATAGACAAGCTTAGACGCTCAGACTCTCCGAGATGGTTCAGCTTCATAAACCTAAACATAGAATGACACAATTCCACACTACCTTTAGGTGGTCTAGCTCCCACAGGTTTGGACAACTAGATCTGGAAATGGAAATGAATGGAAGATCACCAGCTTGCACAACCATCATGCAGGCTTCTCCAGCGCCTTCAGGATTGATGCTTGTTTTATTCAGTAACAAAACCAGTTCACTATCCTGTTTTAAATTGGAAGGGGTTACAATACAAAGCAACTTGAGTGAGAAACAGGAGGGAAAGAGAACCA